TACAGTAATGTGCAACTCACACCAAAATCTCACTGCTATATCCTGGTTAGTTAGACTGTGCTCACTGGGCCCATAACCAATGTTAGTGGTTGGGGACAAATCCCCAAGCAGAGTGTGCAGCAGCAGTCAAGCCAGGCAGCCAAATGAGAGAGGCTGGGCCCAAGAGTATACACACACTGGAGACAAAAACTGTTTGTAGTTTTAAATAGTTGTTTAATCCATTCAGAGTTTAAGCATTGTCAATCAGGCCATATGTCATTCACAAATATATCCATCCAGTAACTTAGTCCATTAACTAGTCAGTACTATGTCCTTATCTGCTTGTAAATCTTCTCCTCCCGATACCTTTCTCTCGAAGACAACGCTGAGTATTCACAGGATATCAGCTCACCAAGGGAATAGTCCTTTTGTTCAGCAGAAACGGTATCCAGCACAGTAGCCAGCAAACAGTAACAAGCAGATGTCTCAAACAGGAGTAAGCAGCAGGCAGAGCAGAGAGCAGGAGCAGAGCCAGGGCTGTTACATTTCTCTTACTGCCTTTTATTGCTGCTTGCAACCGCACCCTTAATTAGCTAATTACATTGCCGTTTGGTGCTTAAAGCTACAAACACTTAAACCTAAGAGAGAGATATGATTAGGTAGGTGGATAGGCAGGCAGGCAGGCAGGCAGGCAGGCAGGCAGGCAAACAGATAATGATTATCTTGGCACATTGCCAAGAGAACTTAAATATTTGTATTTTTATTACTGTCTCTCTTACAGTTAAACTACTGTATATTGTCTGCACTGTTCATAGCACAGAGTTTCCATGCTCTGTCAGATCATACTGCTTTTTTGCATTATGACCAGATCATGCTGTATGGTGATGGCATTATTCCAAGAAAGATTGCAAGAAAAGAAATTTGGGGATAAATCCCATAGCCGTTATGAGAAACTTATTCCGTTCCCTGTCTTCCACAAAACTCTTCAAATAGCATCAGAATGATATATTTAAAGGGTAAAGCAATTGCTTTTCAAAAAGTCGATGCTAAAGTTTCATTGAGATCATATTGTGTCAAAATGTGTATTAGCTGGATTTTGTATTGCAGTTGATTCCTATAAAATGTTCAAAAATCTCATTACCAAACTCCATTTAGGAATGGCAAATAATATGGATAGAACTTAGTAACGTTTACAGTCAGACATCAAGTTGAAGAAGTTTGCACTATCATTTCTATAATATAATGGTGCTTTTTTTTTCTTTGTTTGAACTTTTGGTGAATTTTCAGACAAGATGAAGAAATTTGAGCAATTGAGGACATCAGTCCAAAGTCTTCATTACATACTTTTCCTGTTCACTTTAATGGAAATTACATTCCACAGTATATTTAAAATATCAACTTATTTTGCAGACTCTGATATCTGCCCTGCAAGTTGATGTTTCTTATGCTAAAATTAATTTGTTACTTCTTATAAGCCTTTACAGTTCTATGTACAATTTATGTTTACACATACGTTTTCTTCAAGGAGTAGTAGTAAACCATAAAAAATGTTTGGTTTTAAACAGAAAAGGAGATACTTAAATTAGAAATTAGAATTTGATATACTCAGGATTTAACAGTGTCTTGGCTCAGATGAAATTACAAGTAGTCTGTAAACTGAACAACTGGTATTTACAACTGGTCTTCAGAGTTCCAATGATCACAGTGGCCACAGATATCCCACATTCTGTACCATCAGTCATTGGGGAAACTGGCAGGAAGTCAGAAGTCACATGAGGTCCTCAACATTAAGCGTGGCCCTTGCTTAAAAGTACCACTAGGAATTCCGGAACTGCTATTGCCTAAGCAACACAATAAGTTTACAATTGTGTCAGTTAGAGACAGCAATTCCAGTCCCAATTGCTGTAAGCTGAACTACTTGTAAAAATTATGATTTACTGCAGAAATCATAGCTTTAACTATGATTTATACAGAATTATTTATTTTGGTTCTTTAAAAAAGACCAATGATGGATAATGTATGTATGAGCATGAGTTCTGTGTATACAAACACACACACACACACACACACAATTTTTAAATTGACATAAGAATATCCAAATATGTGTCAGATACATGCTTCTTGGTTGTAGTTCTTAAAATACTGAAGTTCTTGTCTGTGAAAATTTTTGATGTACCTTGGAATTATCCTTAATTTATCTGGGAATATCAATTACATTAAATAAGTAAAATGTCAATGGGAAAATATTGAAATATCTCTAAAGTTGATCAAATCCCCATCTTTTCCATAAATCAATAGTCATTTACATTTCTGAGGGAATGTAGGAAGTAATTGAGAAGAATTGCCTCCATGGCCTTTTTGCGTGAAATTCTCCATGAGAACAATAGAGAGTCTACTTTACCAGATATTATTGGACAGGCAGATAAAACTGGGAATGGAAATCCCTCTTTGCTACAGATATTTGAACAATAACAAAAAGATGGCCCAACATGTTTGAAACATGTTATAAGTGTCTTGAAACCTTCAATGAAAGTGAAATTAACATCAAATGCTGCCTATGCGACAATCAAGTCCACCCTGCCTGCTTAAATGCAAACAAAAGCCTATCTGATATTGTTAAAAATTCAGATACATTCTTTTGTCTATGTCCATCATGTTTTCCTAAGCTAAACAACCTGAGTGCCCGGCCTGACAGCGTTGAAAGCATAGTATCACTCATTCACTCAATAGAAGAACATTTAGCAACATGTTTTGAAACAACTATACAAGCAAGCCTAATCTCTCTTGAAAAAAATAATACAGCACAGATAAGTTATTACCTATCAGCTCAAAATCAAATCCCACAACTACCACAACCACTACCTCAACTACAATCACAACTACAACCAAAAATAACCACCAAACCACAGCCACAAACAATTACTATCCCATCAAATAATTCCACAAATAATATCCCCTTACTCATCAGAGACATCATGAAACGTGAACAGAAACGTCCAAATGTCATCTTATTTGGTCCCAAAGACACCAACAAATCAGACAACATCAACAAAGTTTGCGATATCATAAGCAACTCAAATACAACAAACATCTCTCCTCAAGATATCATTGAAATAACCAGAGATGGCCCTTAATACATATACAATGACGGTTCTGTGGCCCCAAGATTTTGTAGAGTTGTTTGCAAAAATGAGTCCAGCAAACGTATATTCATTCATACAATAAACGCCATTGCAAAATCCAATCCCACCCATAAAAAACTTCGCTCAAGGCCAGACTTATCCATACTGCAAAGAATCCGCTCCCATGAACTCCGCGCAAAACTCAAAAATTGCCTAGACCAGTGATTCCCAAACTTTTTCAGTCCACCACTCCCTTGGTGCTACAAACTCATCCTTGATGCCCCCCACCCAGGGGTGGGATTCAAATTTCTCTGGCCGTGGCCTAATTTGAAGATGTAGCTTGCTGGCCACATGACTGGGTGGGCGTGGCTTGGTGGTCACATGACCGGGTGGGTGTGGTTTGGTGGGCATGTGGCTGGGTGGGTGTGGCCAGGTGACTGGCAAATCAAATACAAGTGGTCCTCGCTTAATGGCCAGTTTAGCAAGTGTTCTAATTTATGACTGGCCTCCCCAGAGCTACTTGACCTGTTTTTGGAGTTTTGACAGCCATGCACACACACACTCCCTTCTAACCCTGTTGGAGCAGGTGATTGGACTAGAATCAGCAAAGCATCTCTGATTAGATTCTAGTAGTGAATAGAATCTAATTAGAGATGCTTTGCTGATTCTTGTTGATTTGTTTTATTTGTATTTCTTTATTTTATGTTGCTGAATTGCATTGACGTGTGTGTCCCTTCTTGTGCACAACCCAGAAGCTTTTGTTATTCTTTGCAGCAAAAATTACCAACCTCTGGCTTTGCTCTACTTTTCAAATGTTCCAGCACTGCCGCATTCTAGGTGCTGGCCCTGCAGGTTCACCCCATTGAGCCCACTGCACTGGAGGGACCTGCCCAAGCAAGTCCGAGTGGAGCAGTGCACCAAGTCAATGGGGTGAGCCTGAGAAGGGAAAGTGAGAGAGAGAGAAAAGAAAGAGAGAGAGAAAGAAGGAAGAAAGGAAAGAGAAAGGGAAAGAAATAAAAAGGGACAAAGAAAAGGGGAGTGGAAGGAAGGGACAGAAAGAAAAAGAAATAAAGAAGGAGGGAGGGAGGAGAAAAATAATGAGATATCTATTCTAGTCCAATCACCAGCTCTAGCAGGGTTAGAAGGGAAAGTGGTGTGTGTGTTCTTGTAATTTACCAGTACATTTAGTTTTGCCTTCTTCAGAATTGGCACTATAATTCATTGGGGAAAAGTAATATTTAAGGGTGGAGGTCTGGTCTAATGGATCCTGTTTAAAGCCTCAACAAAATGTGAAAGCTTCCTGATAGTCTTGACCATGTTTCCTCCACAAAACCTTTAATAGAAGCCAAAGATGTTTCAATGTGCTGGCAAAGATGTTTCAATGTGGAAAAGGGTCTCAGTCTCATTTCAATCCGATGCATCAGGTCTCTCTCTCACTCCCTCTCTCTATCTCTCTCGTTCTCCCTCCCTCCCAGACTGGCTTTGCTCTACTTTCCTGATGTGCCTGTGGAGCTGGCGCCTCGAACATGGATGGATGGATGGATGGATGGATGGATGGATGGATGGATAGAGACAGAAATAGAGAGACAGATAGGTAGGTAGGTAAGTAGATATATTGATAGGTAGGTAGGTAGTACGCAGGTAGGCAGGCAGGCAAGCAGGCAGGAAGACAGATAGACATACGTTTTGGATGGATAGGTAGATGTAGGTATATTGGTAAGTAGGAAGATAGGTAGGTAGGTAGATAGATGGAAGGATGGATGGATAGGTAGGTAGGTAGGAAGACAGACAGACAGATAGACAGACCTTTTGGATGGATGGATGGATCTGTTTCTAAATATTTCAAAAAGACTGAAAAATAAGTTCAAGTCTATGTTTGTCTTTTTCTCCCCCAGGAAGACATGGATCACAATTATTACACTTCAAGGATATATGGCCCATTTGATTCTTCCAGCCAAGATTTGTGGGTAAACATTGATAAAATGGAAAAAGATAAGGTGAAGATTCATGGAATACTCTCCAATACCCACCGACAAGCCGCAGTAAGACATTTGATATATATTCCAATTTAATTCTTTTCTCAAATACTTGAATTACCTTTATATTACATGTCATTCATGTCATGGCATAGCATAGCATAGCATAGCATGTAATCAGAAATATTAATCTATAATTCAAATCTGGAAATCCTTTTCTGATTTTTGTCTTTTTTTGTAAGAAGGAATCAGTGAGAGGAGGAAAAAAAGCCTCTGAGATCAGCTGAGAGGAGAAAGGAGAGAAAAGCGCAGGATCAGCCCTCCCGTCTGCCCCTGAGCTTTTCTCTTCTTTATTCTCTCAGCTGGTGTGTGGAAAGCTGTACATGCGCATAAGGTGCATACGCATTAGGTGCGCGCATACATACATATGATCACCAAACAGAACAAGTAGGATCCCAGTGCTGGAAGAAATGGTCTCATTTTATATATCTGTAAGAATATATTTCATGAAGTTATTTTTTAATCAGATGAGCCTTTGAATTTCTTTTTTAAAAACTGCAGAAAGATTCCAAAATGTTTTAAAAGCGAGAAATAGTTTCAGTGACATCCAAGTCAGTGGTTGCTTTGCCCTTAAATTTGTTTGATAGAGGAATTATACTGCAAATTGACTAGCTTAACTGCCATATTTAGAACTAGAAAGAAACAGCCCTGTGTTTATCCTTTACATTTGTATGAGCTGAATTTCTGAGCGCTATTAAATCCTTGTCAAAATATTATTGTTTTGAGTTGTTGATACTTGTCAAATGAGAATGAGATGACAGATGTAATTTTATTTCCATATCAAAAATATGTCTTGGCTAATTCTGATCCCACATAAAATTCTTGTGTGAGGATATTAACTAAGCTTCTGATTTACATATATAATTCAGTGCCCCTTTACTGCCAAATAGAATTCCTATCATTTTTCCACATACTGAAAGCTACCAGAAAAATCAAAGTTAGTCCTAAAGATATCTAAATTCAGTAGCAGAAATGATAATTCAGTTGATGTGACTAAATTGATTCAAACTCACCTGAGAAGCACTTGGACACTTTTTGAGAAAGAAGTCAGATTATTTGAAGGGATTCCTCACTAATACTAAATATTCAGAAAATATAAGAAGATGGAAGAAAGGAGTGTAACTAAAGAGAAAGAAATAACATACTTAGATTTCTGCCCTTGGTTAGGTTAAAACATTTTCCAAGGTTGGTAAATTCAGCAACCACATGTCATGCTGAGAGAAGTAATAGAAAAGACTCTGGAATTTGGAAGCAGAGAGATACATTCTCCAGATTTAGACAATATAATTTATAAAAATTGTTTTTCTCAGACAATTATAAAAAATAGCTATAAAGGGATTGAGAATGTGGAATCATAAGTCCCAGTTGAAAGAATAAATCTGATATAGCACAAATGATTTTGTGAGATATCTGGGATATGATGGGTTATATGGTAAAAGAAAGTCAACGGTTTCACAGAAAGAATCTTACTGGCATAACTGTTTGGCTAAGATAGGTTTACTTAAACTCATTTGGAATGTAAATTGGAAGAGACAAAGAAATTGTGTGTTTCTGTAGTTGTTATTTTCTTTGTTTAAAACAAAATAAAAATAAAACTATCAGAATTCCTGATAATAAACTATTAAATTCAAATATGCTAGATTAGTTGCAAATTTTCAGTTACAAACATTTATGATAATGATAATTAAGGAAACTTAAAGAGATTTTTAAAAAATAGATACATACATTGAAAGTGCATGGTGAAAGTGATCATATAGCGTCCAAAAACACATGTGTTTTTGTCTAGTAATAAAGGCAGTAGGTTAGAAACTGGAATACCATGAATTCAATCCTGTGTTGGGCACAAAGCCAGCTGGGTATCTTTAGGCCACCCTCTTTTAACCCAACTTTTCTCATTAGTTGTTTGAGGTGTGGAGGTGAGGAGATGAGCATTAGGAATGTTCATTGTCCTGAGTTTATAAAAATAAATAAAATGATTATAAAAATAATAATGGCAGGATATAAATAAATAATATGTTCCAACATGCAACTATTCATGCAGTTAAGCACACAAAATTCATTTAAGTGAATTCTGTGATTGCATAATTATAATGCATATTCTAGTTTGATGATGAGATCAAAATCTTGAAGAAGAGGGATCAAATTCGATTATCAGGTAATGTAAAGGAATTTAAAGATGACTTTGGGGGAAATATGAACCATTAAGGAGAAACTTTCAGAAAATAGTACCAATAATCCTCCACTTACAATCACAACTCAACCCAGAATCTTGGTCATAAGTAAAGTTATTAAGTAAGTCATCATGTGATCTGACTCAATTTTACTATTTTTGTGATTCTTATAAAGCAAATCCCTGCATTTATTAAGTGAGCCACATGGTCATTAAGTGAATCCAACATATCTCATAGATGGGAATGGTTTTTCTTGTTGTAAAACAACAAAAATGTTACAAATTGTGGTCATGTGACCAACTCTCATAAATGTGAGCCAGTTGCACCAAGATGCAGTCATATAACCATGGGGAAAAATTGATTACAGAGGAAGCCAATAGATATGAGGATGGTAAATTGCTTCTTAGTCATTTGAATCAATTCAGTCAACATTTTCATAAGCATGATCATGTTAAAAAAAATTAAAAGTGGAATTCTGAAATAACTATTTAGTTTCAAATTATTAATCACAAAGACAAATAAAAAAGCAAGGCAAAATGTCTTGCTTTTTGGAGATAACCTTATTTTTGGCAAAATATTTCAATACAGGAGAATGTCCGACATCACTTTACCATTTAGAAAGTTAGGAAGTACAAACATGAATTTCCCTGCTTTTTCTTGATATTTTCAGTCTGTAAACTACATTAGCACATTATTAATCTTCTATAATAAATGCTTGTCTTTTTTGACCAAAACAATTAGTTTAAAGGATCTTTTAGCTAACCATTATAGAATAATAGGTTTATAATAACTTTCCCTTTACCAAACCCGAATTAATGTGACTATTTCTCAGAAGTGGCTCTGCAATCAAGTAGATATTTAATATGTTTAACCTTGTCAATTCGTTTCATATGCAAGGATTTCATATATCAAATTCATTCAAAAATTTTTCAAAAACATCCAGAATACCAATTACCAATTACTAATCTAGATTATAACCTTTTCCCCTCAAAGAGCAAGGAAAGAAATGTGGCTTTTGCTTGGACTTGACATCAGATCTTCGCTGTTTTATGCTTTATTCCATATTCTCAGAAATAAATTTGGAAGAAGCAGGAAAGACACAAATAAAAGAACTTTCACAGTGTTTAAACTTTTAACAGTTGCCTTGTCAGAACTTGCCTGTTTTCTTTGTCCTTGTTAAAGAGATGCATCTTGTCATTGTGCAATTAATATAATGTTATATCATGCTAAAGTTGGTGGAGAAAATGGAGATAGCTCTCTAAGGAAAAGAACCAACACACAAACAAACACACACATGAACACACAGAAAAAGATGTAAATCATTAAAAAGTTACTTACAAGATTGTTTGTATTCATTTATTTATTTACATGTGGCATAGAGCACATGGATAACAGTAATAAAATTATAAAAAGGAGGACATAATGCTATTATACGCATATGATGGAAATACTGTAACAGAAGTGGTATTCAGCAAGTTCTGACCAGTTCTGGAGAACCCGTAGCGGAAATTTTGAGTAATTCGGGGACCTAGCAAATGCCACCTCTGACTGGAAATTTTACAGTATCTTTCCCCTGCCACGCCCACCAAGCCACGCCCACAGAACTGGTAGTAAAAAAACGAATCCCACCACTGTATTGTATGTAGTCAATTCTGTGAGGTTTGAGGAATTCAAGAAATTATATGTTATAGATTACATTTTAAAATAAGTTGATTCATAATAGTAGTTGTTATATATATTTATCCAATTGAGCACAATATTTGTTTAGTTGAAGAAAGTCTGCTTTTCCTACTGTGTAAATTCTCAAGTGGCAGCTAGTGACTATGTTATCTAGTGTTTGACAATCACATAAAAAAGAAACAAGACTACCTGTAATCTATGATTTGCATCCACAATTGAAATCAGAATTTCTGGTGCTAAGGTAGGCAGTAATTAAGCGACTCACCTCTGATTTTATGACTCTTTTGGAATGTTGTTAAGCAATTAAGTGATTCACAGTCAAATACAATTTCCCCCATTGACTTTGCTTCCCAGAAGTTCACAAATGGCTACCATATGACCTACGGATGCTGTAGCCACCATTAATACATGTTGATTGCCAAGTGTCTGAATTTTGAGCATGTGATCGGGAAATGCTGAAATGGTCATAAATGTGAGAAGCAGTTATAAGTCAGTTTTTCAGTGCCACTGTAACTTCAAATAGTTTTGATTTGAAGACCATCTGTGTGTATTATTTTAACATCAGAATTGTAATGGATTTATCTGCATTTGTGAATGTAGAACAGGGCTGTCAAACTTGTGGCGTCATGTGACGTATTGGGACTTTTTTCCCCTTCACTAAACCAGATGGGCATGTGGCGGATCCAATTTGCAGACCGCAATTTTCACACCCCTGATGTAGAGGAATGAAGAATAAAGAAAATAAAGTACAGCTTAACTTTAGTTTTTTGGTATCAGTACAACATATTTTCATGGACCAGACCAGATTTCTGCAGCAATGACTAGATAGATCATCCACCTTTAAATACCTGTCAGTTTCCAGATTGGCATAATACAATTGATGTGGATTGCTGCAATCATCTGATTTAACGGATAAGCAGTGTCTGATTTAATGGACAATCAGGAAAAAGAGATTCTCTTTTGTCCTAAATTGGTCCATTAAATGGAGACTAAATAATAAAAATAAAGAATAAAAAAGTTCTAAAATATGTTTACTTTAGAGAGCATTTCTAGACATATTTATTGCTCAATACATTAAATCTGTCCTTAGATTGAAAATAGTTGTACACCCATGAATTAAAGATACCAAGGAGGAGCAATGTACATAATGATTTT